TAAAAATAAATTTTTATAAGAAATGAATTTAAAGTTTATTGTCTTAGTACCATGAAAATCTATTTCAAATAAATTAGCCTGAATGTTGGAAAAGGACACTGTGAACTTTATGTAGACAATAGATCTGTGAAAATGCAGGCCAGCGATAAAGTTATTTTAAATGTGAGGAAGAATAGGTCTCTTGTTTTCTTACTTCTCCGGCTTCTGATTCCTTCTAGCCAGCTTGCCTTTCTCTGACAGCATAAGTAGTTGCCTGCAATCTAGAACTGTTGGAATACTGTAATTTAAGGCTCCTCTGGTTTGGTAAAGAATCACTCTTTGGCTCAGTGTTTGGTAAAGCTCAGTGATTTGGTAAGACTCAGTGTTTGGTAAAGAATCCACCTGCCGATGCAGGAGATGAGAGTGTGATCCCTGACTTGGGAAGATCCCCTGGAAGAGGGAATGACAACCCACTCCAGTATTCTTGCCTGGAAAATTTCATGGACAGAGGAGCCTGGTGGGATACAGTCCATGGAGTCTCAAAGAATTTGGACTGGACTTAGTGGCTAAACAACAAAAACAACAACAAGAAGAATAGTGGGGAGAATATAAGCCTAATTTGCTTATAAATGTTCCATTGTACATAAAATACCTTCTCTACTAAGATGATGTCTTTAAATATTGAGACCAAGTATTCTCTGGTTAGGAATCTGGCAACCAACATAGGTCAGTGGTGTGTTCACAGCATAGTTCAAGTCTCTACCTCTTCTGTAGGCTTTGCTTGTCTAGTTGTTGGGACTTTTCCCTCTTGCTTTAAAAAAAGAAGAATTTTTATTGGAGTGTAGTTGATTTACAGTGTTCTGTTAGTTTCTTTGCTGTGCTATGCTTCGTCATGTCCGACTCTTTGCGACCCCATGGACCAGGCTCCTCTGTCCATGGGATTCTCCAGGCAAGAACAGTGGAGTGGGTCGCCACTTCCCCTCCAGTGGATCTTCCCAACCCAGGGATTGAACCTGGGTCTCCTGCATGTGGGCAGATTCTTTATCGTCTGAGCCACCAGGCAAGCCCAAGAATACTGTGGTGGGTAGCCTATCCCTTCTCCAGGGGATCTTCCCAGCCCTGGAATAGAACCAGGTCTCCTGCACTGCAGGTAGATTCTTTACTAGTTGAGCTACTGCACAGCAAAACGAACCAGCCTCACACACACATGTACCCCTCCCGTTTGGACTTCATCCCCGTGCGGTTCACACAGTGCATTAAGTAGAGTTCCCTGTGCTAAACAGTGTATTCTCATCAGTTATCTATTCTGTGCATAGTTCAGTACTGCCCCAGGCTCCCAAGTCCTCTCACCCATTTTGCTTCTTTATATAAGATGATTCCAAGATTTTGTGAGAGTATGGGCATTAATTAAGTATAAAAACAGATACTGTATGTTCATAATCTCATTTTGGTTTTTTGATCACTAATCCTTAACTAAGTCCTGTTTTGGTTGTTAGAATTCTGCTAATTACTGGAATTGTGTAATTATGAGGATTTCTTTTTCTGTGAATGAGTGTATGTTTGAATTAATTCATCTCATTACTTGTTTTTATATTTACCTATTCCCCCCTTTAATTTTATAATGTGTTAGAAAATTTTCAAACCTCCAGGAAGTTAGGAAGAATTATATGACATACCTATTTTAAAGACGTTTTACAAAATTTATTTAATATAAAGTTAAAAGTTTTAAATTATGCCAGTAATTGAATTTAGAAATTTTATTCCTCATGATTAATTTTTGCCATTTAAAAAAAAATTTTAGTGTGCTGGAGACCAATTATACATATTTTGTATTTTGTTTTTTGAAATCATTTAATATTTTCTGAGTAATCTGCCTTTATGATAGCAAAACACTGAATCAAATAAATGTATTTTAACACAGTTTTTGTGCAAAATGACATTTTAATAAATACTGTTTTAAGGATGACCTAACACTTTTATAAATATAAATTTACAGAGGTGTCTTCTACTTTAAATACATTAAAATTTGAATTTTAATGTAAATATTGACATTCAGAATCATATTTATTTTGTAACTTTCTGTGATTAGCTCCCCTTTCTCAAGCTGAAATGAAGAAAAGTTGAAGACTTTTCTCAAACATGTTTTAGCTTCTGGCTTAAAAATCCTAACATTTAGTCAAACTTTTCAAACTACTATTTACTATTTCTTGATTGCTCAATGTTTAGTCCGAGTGTTTTTCTGTTTTTTATATGTAAATATAGGAATGTTTGCTTCACTCTAAAAAGATAAAAGTAAGACCAGCAATGTGTTTATGAAAGGTTTTTAATAACTTGGGGAAGTGAAAGTTGCTCAGTCATGTCCGACTCTTTGCAATGGAATTCTCCAGGCCAGAATACTGGAGTGGGTAGCCATTCCCTTCTTCAGGGGATCTTCCCAACCCACGGATCGAACCCAGGTCTCCTGCATTGCAGGGGGATTCTTTACCAGTTGAGCCAGCAGGGACTCCCAAGAATACTGGAGTGGGTAACCTATCCCTTCTCTAGTGGAACTTCCCAACCCAGGAGTCGAACTGGGGTCTCCTGCATTGGAGAGGATTCTTTACCAGCTGAGCTACCAGGAAAGCCCAACTTGGGGAAAGTATGTATTATAATGTAAAGTGTGCAAAAGAAGGAAACAATTGTATATTTATAGAGAAAAGGCTACAGGAAAGAGAATGCTGAGTGTTAATAAAGTTGGGCGACAGACTTGTGTGGGTGGGGCTGCCTTCTCTGATGAAGAACAGATCTTCCCCAGAAGTATTGCATCAGCTGGTGAGCTTTCTGTACTTGCTCTGAGGCCATGGCCCTGCATCCCTGATCCTTCAGGGAGATCACCCATCTCTAGCTTCCTTTATGTAGAAGCCTCCGTTCCTGTGTATTTTCATTGTAGATCAGGAGTCCCCAACCTTTTTGGCACCAGGGACCAGTTTCATGGAAGACAGTTTTTCCAGAGAGGGAAATACAGTTTCAGGATAATTCTTACTTCTTTTATTATTACATTGTGATATATAATGAAATAATTATCCCGCTCACCATAATGCAGACTCAGTGGGAGCCCTGAGCTTGTTCTCCTGCAACTAGGTGGTCCCATCTGGGGATGCTGGGAGACAGAGACATCCAGGTGTCCTTGCTATGTCCAGTTCACTCCTAATCTCATGCTTCGCAAAGACAGGGTGCTGGGAATGCAAGTAGTCCTTTATGGCAATCTCAGGATACCCCGCCTTGACTTCAATCCAGAACACATGGAGAGTTCAAGTTGTCTCAAACATACCTCTAAGGGCACAGTCATTTGCGATCTCAAGTGGTAATGTGAGTGTTGGGGTGTGGCTGTAAATACAGATGAGGCTTTGCTTGCTTGTCCACCGCTCACTGTACCAGTCTTGGGCTGGGGGATTATAGATAGCTCTATAACCCCTGTTATAGATAGCTCACCTTAGCTGCTGAAATCCCATTGTATGGGTTGAACTTCTGCTTTCACTCACTCCTTTTTTGTGTTTTTAAACCACAGTTAGATTTTTTTTTTTTAAATATAAGACTTTCAACTTCCATTTGATAAATGCTTACACTTTGCTTTTTTGTTCAAAAATAAAAGCTTTTTGGACTTATCTGGCAAAATTCTATTAAGCTTATTTCCCACATTCAGTTTCCTTGTGGTCTGCTTTGACACTTTGAAACAACAAATTCACTGGTTTCCCTTCTGTGGTCTTTTCTGTCTACCAGTGCTTTTATTGTTTGGGACAGTACACCCCACGCCCCAGCTTCACTCTGGTTAGTTTTCCAGGCTAACTACTTCACAAATGTTCCATTAAGTTCTCTTTATTTACTTACTTATGACTGTGCTGGGTCTTCATTGCTGCGCAGGCTTTTCTCTAGTTGTAATGAGCGGGGCTGCCTTCTTGTTGAGGTGAGCGGAGCTGCTGTTCACTGTGGTCCTCAGGCCTCTCATTGCGATGGCTGCTCTTGTTTCAGAGCGCAGGCTCTAGGCACCAGGGCTCAGGAGTTGTGGTGCCTAGGCTTATTTGCTCCAAGGCATGTGGAATCTTCCCAGACCAAGATCTAACCAGTGTCCCCTGAATTGGCAGGCGGATTCCTGTCCACTGTAGCATCAGGGAGGTCCTAAAAATGGAAATTCTTTAATAGTTTATGTGAGATTTTTTAATTTTAGTTTCCCCCATGCCTCACAGCATGTACTTGGGCTTCCCAGGTAACTCCGTGATAAGGAATCTGCCTGCCAGCGTAGGAGACACAGGAGATGGTGGGTTTGATCCCTGGGTTGGGAATATCCCCTGGAGGAGGAAATGGCAACCCACTCCAGTATTCTTGACTGGAATATTCCACAGAGGAGCCTGGTGGGCTAAAGTCCATGAGGTCTCAAAGAGTCAGACAGGACTGAGAACATCCTGTGTGTGTGTGTGTTCTCAAAAATGAAGTGGGCCTGCTGCTTCAGGAAAAATGACTTCCAGTGTTTGTTGCTGATGATAACAGTTCTTGGGGTCACAAAGAGTCACCAAAAAAAAAAAAAAAAAAGAAGAAGAAGAAGGTAAGACAGTGTACTGCATGCACTAGTGTTAATGAAAAAGAGCAGTGGTTATAACCATCAAGCAGATGGACTAGTATATGTGATGGTTAGGAAAAAGATAGATTTAAAAAATAACAAATACAACAATGTAATGAGTGGGATAATAGTATAGGATCACTCACCAGACTGAGAGTTTCTTGTTGCCCTAGAGGCTTTCATCCACATTCCTTAGTGCCCATCACTGCACCCGGGACTAAGAAACTGTACAGAGAAGGAATGAATGAGTGAACCCTTAGCGGTAACCTTCATTTGCAATGTTATCCCCTAGCTCTAGTGTTAGTCTTCAGGTCATTAAAGACAACCTGTTAGTGTGTTTATAAGTACCTAGAAGTGAAGTTTTCATAAACTTAATTGTTACATTTCAATTACAGGCGTCGATTAGCAAGGTGAAAGTAACAGAACCATGGCTCAGTTTCCCACACCTTTTGGTGGTAAGTTTTCAAAGATTTTTCCTTTTTTTAATGTACTTTGGAACTGTTTTTTTAAAAACTTAGTATTATGGCAGATTTCAAATATTCACATAAGTAGAGGGAATAGTATAATCAACCTATCACATAGTTTCAGTGATTATCAATCAATTTATGGTCAGTATTGATTCACCTGGATTCTTTTGAGCACCTCGAATATATATCAGATCATTTCATCCACAAATATTTCAGTGGACGTTTCTAAAAGGTAACACTTTTAAAGATATAACTAGAATACTGTTACCACTCCTGTGAAATCTATAGTGATTCCTTAATGTCCTCAGCTATGGAGTCACAGTTAAAAATTTCCCTAATATTCTTTAGGTGTTATTTTTTTGTTACAGTTGGTTGGTTCAACTCAGTGTCTGAACAAGACACAGTGAAATTAGTTCATGCGTCTCTTTAGTTGCTTTGTTAGTGAACCACCCCCCTCCCCCCATCTCTGTTTGTTTTGCTGTTTTCTGCAATTTATTTGTTTAGGTGACTGGGTCATTTATATTCTGTACTTTGTTTGGAAGACTGGATTTGAAGCATGGAATTTTTGTTTTACTTTAGTTTATCTATTTGAAATATCAATCTACACAAAATTGTTTTTCAGGTAGTCTTCCCTAAGATTATTAGGAAAGTGTTAAATGTTGGTTTTGCTTACTGTCCATGTTTTGTTTTGTTTTAAAGAGATACAGTTGCCAAAGTATCTCTTGGCAACTGTCGCACCTGGTCACCATGAAGAGAGTAAGGCGTCCCAAGGCCTCATTCCTGTGATCACATCAGGAAAAGTCTCTGTGGGATTCTTAGTGCAGAATCTTTTCAAAACCATTCATGTTACTATTGTATTTTGTGTTTTGTCTTTGTCCCCCTTCCTAATCACTGAGCACGTTTTTGTTTTGTTTGTTTGTTTGTCGGGGTTTGCTTTTACTCGAGGAATTTTGACAGGGCCCCAGACGCTGAGGACTGTAGGACCTGTGAGGGAGCTTATCTGCCTGGGTCGCCCTCTTTTCCCTGATGGCTGTCGCAGTGCCTGGCACATACAAGGAATTCAGCAAGTACATTGCCAGTGACGGAATGAATGGCTGCTCTGACTATCACTGTCATATCAGACCTGCCCCTTCACATATTGTCTGTTCCCACCATTTGGGAAAACGCCTGAACTTCTGAAAGCCTTTTTCCTATGTCTAATCAAGAGTTATTTTGGTGAATTCATGTGAGGAGACCTCGTACTAAAGTGGGCTCCCCTGGTGGCTCAGATGGTAAAGAATATGCCTCCAATGCAGGAGAGACATGGGTTTGATCCCTCCATCGGGCAGATCCCCTGGAGAAGGGTCTGGGCACCCACTCCAGTATTGTTACCTGGAGAATCCCATGGACAGAGGAGCCTGGTGGAGCCCTAAAGTGAAGACAGTCTCAGAAATGAGGGGGCACCTGGTCAGTCCATGAGTTGTAACTGAAGAACTTAACCCTACTTTCTCTGGTTTGTCATTGTTTTTTTTTCCCCAGGATACTTATTCGCATTTTAAAAATCAGTTTCAGTGAGTTATAATCTACATTCTATAAAAGTTACTGCAGTCTAGCATTTGAGTATTTTTATCACTCCAAAAAGATTTTCATGGAATCAAGTAGAATACTAATTTAGTGAAGCTCAATTTTTCCATAACCTTCACAAAGAATGTATGTTAATGTCTTTTTTTTTTCTTGCTTTACTCTTATGTTTCTCTTTTTGTTTTCTTTTAAAAAGTTATCTTGTTGCAATAGAGTTGGTTCACAGTGTTGTGTTACTTGCCGCAGTACTGCACAGGGAATCAGTCACACACAGACTTACATCCACTCTTTAGATTCTTCTCCCATATAGGATGTTACGGAGTATTGAGTGGTTTCCAGTGCCGTACAGTCCTTATTATTATCTGTTATATACATAGTGCTGTGTGTGTGTCTACTCTTAGTTTTCTAACTTTGTATTCACAACTTCCAAGGACAAACAGATGGTAAGTTATCAAATGGTTTATAATATACTGACCACATAAGTGCTGTGGAAACTGTGTGAGCACGTTGTTTTTCTTTTTTCTTTGAATAATTCCTTTGTCTTTTCTTTGGCTTGTAGGCAGCCTGGATATTTGGGCCATAACTGTAGAGGAAAGAGCAAAACATGATCAACAGTTCCATAGTTTAAAGCCAATATCTGGATTTATTACTGGTAATTGGAGTCAGTATTTTTATATTTTTACTTACCATAGTGCATATATCTGTGGAAAATCTATTATGCGGAGTGAAGGTGGGCACCTATGACCAAGGGTATACCTTACTTATTTTGACTTAGCCTGGATTCTGTATTTCACAGTTACTTTTCCTCCGATGCACTCAAGCCTTTCTGCAATTTTTAATGGATGCCAAGTCACTGTTTTAGGCATATCACTGGTGGGAATTGGTTAAATTAATAGTTCACATTCTCGAAGTGATTGTGTCATTAGGCTGTGGTCCTTGAGTAAAAACACTTCCTTAATTCTGACCTTGAACTTGGCTTGAGAAACTTTAGTAAATTAAGAGATGTGAACATTTAAAAACATTTTGTTTATTTCTGTGTCCTTAAAGATTCTTTTGTACTTTGCCTTTTCTAGTTTCTTTCCTGTTTGATTACTTTTCAGGAATTAGATTTAGAAAAAATGGAATCTAGATTTCCTGGAGACTTGTTTTTGTGTATGTTTGTCTCAGTTCTCTTTAACTTACTAACTCTTAGTCATTGATGTGATTCTTTTGATCATTGTTACTCATTCTCTGTAAATGTTAGCAGTACCAAAAATTTGAAGTGTAGGTATATGGGAATAACAAAGAACTCTTTTGTAAAGTAGAAGTATGGGTCATCAGTTTCTTGGGGATTCCTGTAGGTACACTTTGTCGTAATATGTAGCTGTTACCATTTTAATTTCTAGTAGATTTATTAACATAGACAGTCTACCCTTACATAATGGTAGACATTTTCTTTTTAAGTGTTACGTTCTAAAGTCAATGCTGATGTATTATTTTATTGTTACTTATAAACTTATCATTTGGCTTTTAAAATGTATTAAGTTTCGTATTTACTAGATTATTAGCCTCTTTCATTTTTGTAATTTTGACATAGGAGTTTTCTGCCATCCACTATTTTCTTCTAAAACTTTATCCATTTAATTTACAGGTGATCAAGCTAGAAACTTTTTTTTTCAATCTGGGTTACCTCAGCCTGTTTTAGCACAGATATGGTAAGTTGGAGCTTCATATATACAGAAGGTTATAAAAAAAAAAAATAGTTCAGTAATATCTAATCTTAATTTCTTAAATTATAGAAGGAAAATTTGTATCTCTAGTCTGAAATATGCTTCCACTTTTCCAGAGAAATACTTCTGAAAATTATCTTTCTGATATGGAACTTAAAAAAGAAAAAGTGGTGACATTTGCAAGATAACACTGCTTGTAAATTTGACTTCCAGTTGAGAAATCTGCATTTTGATATTTTCTCACCAATTGTTTTGGCTTCCTTCTCATCACCCATACTCAACTGAGTGTCCCACAGTTCTTGGTTTATAATGTGATGGTATTGTATCTTTCATTGAATAAAATGCAAAGAAAATATTTGAGGCTGAATAGGGAAATAACCAATGAAAGAGTGAAAAAACCAGTATTTATTACAGTGTTGTACAAGGTGAGCACATAATAAATATTGGTGAATCCCTTGATTAACTGGCACAAATAAGTACTCAGTCTTTGGAAACCAGTGGAGAGAGAGTGAATGATAAAGAGTGGCCAATATCGTTTTGGGTACTAGGTCCATGACTTTGGAAAGCTATGGTGAATTCTTTGGCCCAGAGGCCATGCTTTCCTGCAATGGATGGTTCTTACAGTTGATTCTTTATTTCCCTGGGTTTCTTAGTGTTGTGGAGACAGCTTGCTGTAGTGAAAAGAACACATGTGTAATTCGTGTCATCTGTACAACTGTCTATCTTTATGGTTTGGAACATATATTTATTCTCTCCCTGTCAGCTTCAGTTTTCAAATCTAGAAAATGGAAAGATGCATATTTATTTATAGGAGTATTGAGTGGTTTAGCAGAGAAACTGTATACAAAGACCTTAGTGTGGGCCCTGGCACATTACAGGTCCTCAAAATAAAACTTTAGGAAGGTGTCTGCTATCATCATCAGGGATTGAGTGTTCCACATTGACTGAATTATCCAACTAATTGCTTGTCCCCTTAGTTCATTAACTTTAAAATATTTTTAATTTTATGGAAATTAAAAGTTGACATAGTTCCTTATTGCCTTTAAGTGGAGTCTACAGTACATAAGCCTGATTATAAGTGTCATCAGTATGAAAATGATTTACTGTGCTCTGACATAACAAACCTTACATGGGAATTTATGTATTATTTGTGAGTGGGTATATTTGAATTGAAATTAAATGATACCAGATTCCTGTGCTTGTTTTGGTGTCCACTTTGTTTTATTTTTCCTGGTTGTCAGCATATTGGCTGCCCAGACTGCCCCTTTTAACGATTATACCCTTCTTGTACTAAGTTCTGGTGTATTTGAAGCAGAAAAATCAAACAACGGTTTTGAAATTAAGTAAAGTAACAAGTAGAGAGAAAAGCACACAAAGAGAGGTAGACAGACAGAAAGAACACTCATGCATCTGTGAGCACAGGGTCACTGACATGTTGGCTAAGTGTGCTCAGTCACTTAGTGACTGTGCGCAAAGTGTCCGACTCTCTGCGGCCCTATGGACTGTAGCCCGCCAGGCTCCTATGTCCATGGGATGCTCCAGGCAAGAGTACTAGAGTGGATTGTCATGCCCTCCTCCAGGGGAGCTTCCCATCCCAGGTATCGAACCCGCCTCTCTTAAATCTCCTGTACTGGCAGGCAGAGACTGAATGTGAAAGACTTGTGACGTCTGCGTTAAACTTCTGCTTTGTGTTCTGGTAATTGTGTTTCATGCCATCAGCCAGGGTCACTCACTAGACTCTTCTTTTCCCAGACAAATTTGATTTCTTTCACTGAATCCTGCTCCTGTACTGTGTTTACAGTCTGTGAAGGTTCATTCAAGAAGCAGTCTTGTGATGAATTACTGCAAGGAGATCTCACTTAACATTTGTTCACTCAGCAGTGGAAAAATATCTGTCAGATGTCTACTGTGGACCAATGACTGTTGTAGGTGCTGGGAACATAGCTGTGAACAACACTGACAATTTGTGCTTTCATAGAGATTGTAATCCAGTGGAAGGAGATGGTCAATAACAGCATAAAAAGTGTCACATGTTAATAAGTATAATGGAGAAAAACAAAACATTATTTAATAAATTTCACTTCTTTCAATTAAGACAGTTAATTTTCTAAACTTTTTTTTGGTGGAGGGATTGGGGTGGGGCATGGGGGAGTTCCCTGGCAGTCCAGAGCTTACAACTCTGCACTTCCACTGCTGGGGACCTGGGTTTGTTTCCTGGTCAGGGAACTAAGATGCCACAAGCCAAAAATAAAAAAATAACAAAACTGGTTTTCTTTTTGTTTCTGTTTTGTTTACCAGAGTTCACTAAAATAATTTTTGCCAACTTTTTATTTTCATTGTGAAAAATTATATTAACAGTGAAGATAATGACTTGGCAGACTTAGGTTAAATCCAAAATGTTTTTTATCTTTAATTTCTTTTCTGACATTTTGTTAAATTTGTGATGGCATATTTTAGTTTCACCAAGAATTACTACCAGGGGGAAGAAACAAAACAAAGCACACTTACATACCTATTGGGACTTCCATGGTGGTCCAGTGGTTAAGATTCCACATTGTCAATGCAGGGGGCTGGGGTTTGATCCCTGGTTGGGGAACTGGAGCCCACATGCTGCAACTAAGACCCCTCCTAGCCAAACAAAAACCCAACAATCAAAAAAACACACCTCTAAGTATCTTTTCCCAAAAGAAATAGCTTTGAAAGGTCATTGTAAATTTTATGAGGCACAGATGTCCTGCTAAGATGCTGGAATGGTGTGATGCAGAGTATGAGGAAGATCTGTCTTTTAGCACCAGCTTCTTCAGGCTTCCCAGGTGCCTCAGTGGGTAAAGAATCCACCTGCCAATTCAGGAGACTCGGGAGATGCAGGTTTCATCCCTGGGTGGTGAAGATCCCCTGGAGGAGGAAATGGCAGCCCACTCCAGCATTCTTGCCTGGAGAATCCCAGGGACAGAGGAGCCTGGCGGGCTGCAGTCCATGGGGTCGCACAGAGTCAGACTCGACTTCGCAATTGAGCACACATGGTAAAGTTGCTTATTCCCTTTGTAAGCCTGAGCAGCACTTCACCTCTTCATATTTCGGTTTTTAAGTTTATAAATAACAGCTGACCTGATGAAGTAGGTTTTCCTCCCTATCTTTGATACTAATCTTGTGTTCTCACTTGGTTTTTCTGATGGGGTCAAAGGGAAGGCCCCCTGCCCCTTTTGGTAGAGGAGAGGGTTTGAGTCTAGATTTTAGGCAGTCCCTGTGCCACTCCTCTGGAGAGGAGGAAAATTTTTGTATTGAGAATTAGGAACTTTTCCTAGTTTCTCTTTCTCTTTGCGCCTTTCTTTCTTTGCTCTAGTCTGCAGTTGAAATGTAGAGGTGATGGGGACTGCTGGGGAATATCTTAGAATTCATGTAGAAACTATACTCCAGTTAATTTATTTATGAGCTTTGGAACTGTAACCTAACTAATACTTTGGAGATACGTATCTGTCTAGTCTAGTTTCTAATTAAGAATACAGGAAATCCTGAATTCTCCCTCAAAGGACGGAGTCAAGTCAGTGTGTTTAAAGCCAAATTATAACAGTAACCAGAGATGATTCGTCTCCCTAGAAATTGTCTTACTGCTAAGGAGCTGAAAGGAAAGCCACCAATATCCTCTTATCTTTTGGCAACTTAAATGCTTGACATCATTCCAACCTAGGCTGGTGCGGAGACGGGAAAGAACAAGGCGGAGGGCAATGGGACAAGAGCCTTGAGTAGAAGGAAGGTAGGGGGAAGGCAAAGAGGTGGAATGGGCGCTTTGGAGTCAGGGGCGGTAGGGGCTGTGGAAAGGGGGTATGGAAGCTGTTAAGGAGAGAGGTGAGGGGAAGAGAGGGAGCACTGCTTGGAAACAGGCCCTGAGAGAGGAGGAAGCAGCCACAGGCAGAAATTAGGGGCAGAGAGCAGGGTAAACACCCCTTAGGATACCATCTTAGGATCCTCTGAGCATATGTCAGGAGGGCCTTCAGCCCCAGCAAGATCAGTTTGCTAAGGTCCCTGGCCCCTCAAAAGTCATCCAGAGCATTCCTGAGTCATCACCGTCTCAGTTCATGGCCGTGAGCATCTCTCCAGCTGGTGGGAGCCATGCCTGATTGCTCTCCTTCTGTTACCCTCCACAACCAGCCTGTCAGCGTATACTCTTGACTGCATTACAGACTGTCTCCCCAGTCTGGCCCCTGACTTTCTGTCTCCTTTGCTACCATCCTGATTGGTCACAGTGGGCCGAATAACTGTGCCCACCGTCTGAGAGTCCTGACTGGAGACTGTCTTCCACACTTGTCCCTTTAGATTCAAAAAAGTAACCCCCCCCCCCCCCCCCCGCCCAAAGGTAAATCCATTTAAAACTCTTCATTGACAAAACCCAAAGTCGTTACCAAGGCCATAGGCCCATGTGATCTGGGCTCTTGGCTGTTTCCCTCTTTTATTTTCTACTATTTCCTTCTTAATTTTTTGCACTCTGGTTTCACTGACCTTCTTTTCTATTCTTTAAATGCCGTAGGGTCATCGCACTTGGCGTTTCCTCTCCCTGTCATTCAGCTCTTCTAGATCCTTACATATCTAGCTGATTACCCATCAGGTTTCGATTCATGGGTCACTTTCCCTGAGAAGGGCTTCCTGAGCACTTGTCTAAAGTACTTCCCTCTCAGTTTTGGATGTACACATGTACACAGGGCTGTATTTAAAATGGATAACCAGCAAGGACCTACTGTATAGCACAGAGAATTCTGCTCAGTGTTATATATCAGCCTGGATGGGAGGAGAGTTTGGGGAAGAATGGATACATGTATATGCATGGCTGAGTTCCTTGGCTGGTCACCTGAAACTATCACAGCATTGTTTTTTAATCAGCTATACTCTGATACAAAATAAAAAGTTTAAAAAGACAAAAAATAAAATATTTCCCTCTCCCCACCTGCTCCTGCCACATCTTCTCTTTCCCATTGCTTTGCTTTATTTCT